TGACCCTCACCCAGCCCCTACTGTCACAGCGAGGTGCCAGAGGCACAGTGTGAAACTGCGTTGCTCAGTTCGGCTGTGGAATGGGCACAGCTTGCATACAGGCGCGAGTCACACCCCTACTGGCACTCAGGTGACCACAGTGAGGCTGGCCCTGGACGAGGGGTCCCATGACACTGGGACAGAATGTGACCAGAAGCCTGAAGATTGTGGTTCAGTTGGTATGTAGTAGTGATACACACATATAGACATTACACACATGCACACACACACACAAACGCTCACTGATCTAAACAGATCTCAGACACAGAACACATCCCAAAACTAGGCACACTGAAAGACAAACAGAGATACACAAATAAAAATTGAGAAACACATAAACAAAATTGGAAAAACAGACCCAAATCTACATGGACAGGCAGACATCCTCATACTTATACAGTACAGATCCCAAACTTTGTGACATGGAACAGATTTTTACTGGCAACAGATTGACTCCAGTAGGGTGTCTTTTCAGTATTTATAACGAAAGACACAGATCCATCCTGGACCCCACCTTATCTCACACTGGCAATGGAAATCACAGAGAGGATCAGACACACTGGGACATGTAACCAACGCACAAATTGAAGAGAAAAAGTTCATAGAAATTTATATAAATGAGATTCACAAAACATCCATGGCCTATTCCCCATCCAAACAACCCCTCCATCCAGAGTCTGAAACCACAGTGTATTCTCTGTATAAAAACACACCCCCAGTGTCTATTCTCCACACACAAAGCTATTCTCACACACAGCAACTCTGTTCCCCAAACAGACACTCCACCAGGTTCTGTTTCCCCTGCTACTACCTAGCCCAACAGTCTATGCCACACATGAAATTCTGACCTACAGTTGGTTCCCCACACACAGAGCCACTCCCACAGATGATATTCCCTATAAAAAGCTATTCCCTCTTTCTATTCTCTTTAGAATAAATCACACTCTAATCCCCACACAAAAATAATTATGCCCAGCAGCTGCTACTGACATTCAAGCCACTCCCACAGTATATACCCCCACATACAAAACCACACCCACCTATAATCTATTCCCTAATCACAGAGCCATTCTGTATAAAGTCATTACCACATACAAAATACAATGTACAGCAGTTTACCATACACACTGCAAAGACATGACACACACAACATACACAAAAGCATCTTGTTGAAAGTTTATTCTTCGTGCAACTATTAAGTCTACAATAAGTAGCAAACATTTTGTTTTGTATGCTATTATTTTTTCATAATCTTTTTTCTAGGAACGTAAATATCAAAAAAGTTTAAAACTAGCTTTTAAAAATATTTCAGAGAAAGTTGCCAATACATCAAACATAAAAACGTGCAGAAATAATCAGTATCCCCATAAACACAATTAATTTAACATAATTTAATTTGATTGAAATTGATTTTAGACTTACTTTAGTTCATTTAAAAAACAGACTCTGCTGCACCCCCTGCTGTTGTGGAACAACATTGAAATTATTGAAAGAATTAATGGGAGGAAGGTGCAATTCTCCCAGGAGGTTGCAGGATCCAGCTCTGTAAAGTGCTGTGGCTGTTCTTTAGAAATGAGCTGGACACATAAATGGTTAGGGACTGGATGCTAAACTCTCAGTCTTAAATCAGAGATCCTTTCAGTTAGAAGAACAGTCAAATTTTTTTTTCCACTTTTCACAAAACATATTGGACAATTACAGTTAACATTACAAAATAAAAATGTGTCAGGAGAATCCTCTCATTTTGTGAGCTTATTTTTTGGAAATGTCCTCTGCTGCGACCTCTTCACACCGAAAAGGCTGAAACTGTTAGCGGAGAGTCCTGGAATTTCATCCAGATGAATACATCTTTGGAGTGGGACTGTAGATAGCCTGGAAGGGTAAGGGGTCAGGGGTCATGAGGTCACTGGTGGAGTTCAGGGGGGTTAGGTGAGCATGTCCCAGAGACAGCAGCAACAGAAGGCCGTCCAGCAAGCCGTGAGGCAGGCGTTCGATCCCGAGTCGTCATGTCTCCTCTCCTCTACCACGTACACTAAGAGAGAGAGAGGGGGAGAGGGAAAGGATGGGGAGAGGAAGAAAGTGAGCAAAAGAAGGAGAGAGAGAGGGAGAGAGTGGCAGAAAGGGGGAAAGAGAGTGAGAGAAGGAGAGAAAGTGAAAAAGGGGAGAGAGGCAGACAGAGAGAAAGAGAGAGAGGAGAGAAGGAGAGAGAGAAAGGGAGAGTGGGGGAGAGAAAGAGAGCAAGAAACAGACAGAGGGAGGGAAAGAGAGAGAGGGAGACAGACAAAAAGAGGTTTTCACATTGAGTCAAACCATTTAGCCCAACCCCCCTTTTTACGTTACTGGTCACATTTCACTCCTTCCTCTCTTTTCTTCCTGTCTCCTGTGGTATTAGTATAAGTGGGTCACGTTACATTACATTACATTCTAGGTCACAAGGGTAGCCACCACAGAGCTTCATATTAAATTGTGACAGAGCACACCTACAAACTCATGTATGCCTTTGGGGAAATGGCTTCTTCCTACAGCCATTCAGAAGAGCAGATAATGACACCCTGCCCTGACACAGAGCTGCCCTCATTCTGAACCTGCTACTGTTACCCTGTGCTGACTGTTATTCAAGCGCCATCTGATGCTGTCATCCACAAACAGACTGGGCAGCGAAAACAATGAAGAGTCTTCCCGGGGGCCTTGGGTCAGGTGAACAGCTGATATTCCACTCTCTTTCTCCGAAATTTCACCCACTTCCCCGGGCAAAAATAATGAGCTGGGATCAGTGAGCCATTGTCTGTGTTTGAACACACTGCCACCCACAGCTGCCAATGTGACACACTTTTCCCAAAGGATACTACGCACCACAGGTAATTTAGACCTCATTTCTCTTGGAGGAAAATAAAAAAAACAGCACCAAGGTCAAGTAATAAGCCAGCTCTTCAATCCTACAATTCATTTTCTTTATTATGTATCCATATTGCATTCTACTTAAGTTCTCACCATTTTTTCCCCACCCTCTCCCCCGCTCTCTCTCTCTAATCAATTCAAAATGCCTTATTGGCATGAAATACATGTGTTGTACACATTGCCAGAGCATAAAATCAATAGCAACATCAATAACTGTATGATACATGAATTAATTAGCGCAGCCTCTCTTTGCAGGCAGACTGGGAGTCCATCCATTAACAAATTACACGCCGTGTGCTGCAGTGTACCTACAGCTCAGAGCAGCCATCAGCATGCACTGCAGCACAGAGCCGCGTCCTTCATCCGTACCCGGAATTTACACACAATGCCGAATCTCAGAACCTGCCCGCGTTTCCAGGAGAAACCTTTTCGCACCTGTGGAATGTGACCAATTAGGCAGCTCCTTCTTTGTGTCAGTTTCTCGAGCCAGCGTGTGCATATTTGCGTACTTGTGTGACTGAAGCGACACAAGAACGGAGCGGATCCAGTCTACCATCAGGGCTTGGTCAGAACGCATGATATCAAATTCTCAACGATCGATTACAACGATCAACGAGCCTCATGATCGGTGCAAGATGATACACACAAGGTGTAAACTTTACAAGGCTGCATGACATTGTTACATTACTGGCATTTAGCAGACACTCTCATCCAGAGCCACTTACATGGATTACAAGACAGGATAGTATTGCCTGCCAGGGAGAATCAGGTGGTCTCCTATCTGTATCTAATCCAGGGGTAATCTATGACTCATAGGCGTGCTGTTTCTGTTCACACAGTGGCTACAGACTGGTGGTGCTGACCCACAGTGCTGACTGGGCGTTCAAAAGGAGAACACCCATGTCCTCATCCCTTCTTCCTGTCGGTATCCCAAACCGCACTGGAAATGTCTGAACCTCAAAACATCAACAACACCACGTCCTTTTAATAACTCAAACCACTCGTCAAGGCAGTGATATGTTCAATCAATAACCTCTGCCAGCAGTTTATCGTGAACTGCAAAGCTGTGCTGGAGGGGTAACTGAAGAAATAGGCTCCATTTCAAAAGGGCTCTCTAAACCGACATTCATTTTAAATTGCTCGGGGGTCATTTAACCAAGATAACTTCATCAGTGTGGCAGATGTGATCATGTTCAGATGCAAATTCCCAAGTCCTTTAACTAGTACCTTAATCGGAATGAGACTCCCAGACCAACTCAGGGTGGGCAGGGAGATCTCACGGGAAAAAAACAGAAACTGAGAATTTAAGACTAAATATAAAATGGAGAAGCAAACAACATCTGTGTTTTTTGGTTAGATAAGAATACTTGGAGTGACCTCATTGCATAAGTGGCCTGTGTCCTCAGAACAACTACAATCTGGACTGTCAGCCCCCACTGAGGGTGTCAGTACAATTTGGGGTCAAAGGTCAGTCAATAACCAATCACAGGTGACTAATTGCAGGCTCATTACTGCCTGTATCCAGTGCACTGACGCTATTATTTTAATTAGCTGTCATTGACACAGCAGGGAGTGAGTGCCTGGAGAATGGATCTACATCACTTATCACTGGTCTTAAAAATACCAGCCATAACAGGATAGAGACCTGTAGGATTATAGATTTGTGGGATTAACTTTTTGTATTTTCTTGGCCTGCATACTTACTTAACTCATAATAACCTTTTTTACACATCCACATAAATGTAATTTAGGAATATAATATTTCTAAGGACAGTAAAACATTTTTCTCTAAGTCTGTCTCTAAGCTATACATAATATTCCATTCATACTTATAGTTAATATTTTATTATTTCCAGCAAAATCCGGTTACGTTATTCACTGCATGACACCAGATAGGCAGCAAGCCACCTAATAAGTTCATCCCAATTGAACACTCACAAATAAAAACTTTACACTGTTCTGTGCCTTGTACGCATTTCAGATGTAAAACACAGAAAGGACAGCCCCATCGATAACAAAATAAAGGATTGAAATTAAGAACAAAACAAAAAGGAAAACAGGGTGGCAGTGTAGCATAGTGGTAAGGAGCAGGGCTTGTAACCGAGAGGTTGCCGGTTTGATTCCCTGCTGGGGCACTGCTGCTGTACCCTTTGGCAAGGTACTTAACCCACAATTGCCTCAGTAAATATCCAACTGTATAATGGATAACATGTAAAACTGCAGACTGTGTAAGGCGTTCTGGATAAGAGCAACTCCTACATACAATGTAAATGGTTAATGTGGTTTCTAAAATAACTAACTGCTTCACAAAGTACCATGAGATTCCTGGCAGTGGGGATGACCATGGCATTTCCTTAGGAGAAACTGAGGTCACTCTATCCAGATCAGATAGGAGCTTGGTGATGCAGATCTCTACGCCAGGGACCTCACCCACCCTAACAGCAGGGAAAGCAGGACTTTACTGCACACAGACCTGGAAAAGTGACCTCACTGCTGCATGGATCAGCAGGGCTTTTCTGAGGGTAAAAACAGGAGGCCGCAAGACTGCTGTATGTTTCCCCAAACGTTCATCTCAGCAATTTAAACCCAAGAGGAGTGTCAAACCCAGTCAATAGGACTCAGGTGGGAAGTGGGTGGCCAGGACTCTCCTAACAAACTTGTCGGTGTCAGAACATCAGAGCTCTCCGCATCTTGATCAATGCTGGCTTAAGGCCCCCATGGAAGGGCCAAACATTCTGGAACTCCCTGGTGAGCCGTCCAGGTGATAGATGTCAGAAGGTGAGCTGGGGCAGGAAACGAGTGTGTTTTCCATGGTTTTCCCACAGGGCTAGAATTCAGTAGCCTAGAGCTAGGGGGACAGAGTTCAGTGCTTGGATTCAGACAGCTTACAATTCAGGGGGCTAGATTTCAAGGGTGACAGAATTCACAGGATCTTGAAGGTTGAATTCTAAGGCAGGTTAGAATTCAGGGGGCTAGAGTTCACAGTGCTTAAATGCAGGCAGCACAGAACTCAGGCATCTGGCAATAGGGCTTGATGTAGGAGCTCTTCAGAGGAGGAGAGAGCGCCTTTAATTACCGTGTTTGCACCTCTCTGTGTTCCCAGGTGGCCCAGGCCACAGCTGCGCTTCTCTCCCGCTGCAGTCAGAGAAACACAGAGGGTCTCCTGAGGGCGGGGGGTCGGAGAGCCTCTGCTGGGAGCACAGGACTCACGGCGCTGTAATCTGATCTCACTAGGTTAACGAATAACCCTGCGAGGGATACTCTGAGCCTCCCATTGCTCTGGCCTTATTTATAGCTGCAGAAAGATGGTGGATCATTCCGTTACTACCAGTCCTGGGGGTAATCACTCAAACTCAATGTCGCCAGTGTTGTGCATGAACGCGTTAAAAGAGCGCGTTCATTGAACATGCTCATTTTTTTGGTGAACAGTGAACTTGAACGTATCTGTTTGCAACTAAAGAACGTGAACTTGAGCTCGTTCAGGTTTGCATGAGATTCGGAATCCTTGGGTGTGTTAAAGTTACTGCTTTATAAATAAACACGGACGACGTTATTCCATACTTCAGACATTTTTATTAGCGCAACTCATCCATCAGATAGACTGACAGCTCACAACCAACTGCCCATATCCCGCGTAACAATCACTGCGCATGTAGAGGTACACATATAATAGTCCCTGGAGCAGCTCTTTTAAAAAATGGAAGAAATTAACTGGGACTGTGAACTTGTTCAAATTCAAAATTGTGAATTATGAACGTGAACTTGTTCATTTTAATCTGTGTGAACTGAACTTTGAGCTAGCTCTTCTGATGTGTGAACTTGCACAACACTGAATGTCGCAGTAAATCTGAATCAGTCAGACTCATCAGACAACACCCACACTTTTCTTAGAACCAGATTTAATCACGCACCTAGCCAAAGCAAACTTACAGGTTTCTACAGCTAAACCTGCTGCTCACTTGCTACCATTGCCCATTTCTCCATCATTTCAGGCTTAGCAGCACATACTCACATTCTCCTTTTGGGTTTGTGAATGAATCCCTTCTGCTAACTTGTAGCTTGTACAAACAAGTAAGTCAAGCACAGACAAGGATGCAGGAAGATGCATCACAGAGAAGGAAGTGGCATCATCCCCCCCCCCATAGCTGTGCAGTCACTGTAGCCTTCTTTCAGTCCCAGACCAGTGAAGAGTGTGATAACCCTCCCTCTGCTCTCCCACCTCTCCCTCTCACCTGTGTTTTTGGGGGCCTCTCCGTACACTGGTCCGACCGGCGGGGCGTTCTGCCATCCGTACTGCACCTGGGGGTGCACGGGGTACCCCTGGTAGCCTGGCTGCCCCATATAGGGATCTGCAGGCCCTGGGGGGAAGTGGGGGTAGGCAGGGTTGGGCTGCTCCGTGAAGGCAGGGTATCCCTGGGTGGGGTACCCTGGGGCCGGGTATCCCTGGATGGGGTACCCCTGAACAGGGTACCCAGGAGTGGGGTACCCTGGGGCAGAGGGGCCGGGGCCAGGGTACGGAGGGGGCTGTTCGAAGTTCATCTGCACACAGCGGAAGAGGGCGTCCTGGGAGGGGAGGAAAACATATGAACAGGGGGTAATCGGCAGCAAATTCAGAGCTTTCTGTACGTATCATAGGACAAGTCCTTACAAGAACTGCAAGGTTCAGTGTGTTGAGCAATGACCTATATTTGTTTGTTAAAAAAATAGGGCTGGTAGGAGGATTTAGGATTTTTTTATCCTGTTGCTGCTACCATTGCAATGAGCACATAATCAAGTCAGTTCATGTCAGTGCAATCAAGTCCCAGCTCATATCCACTGCAGATTGTATTCGGGCATAAACTGGGAAGTATGTGGACAAGCAGCTAAACAGACTCCTAGAAAGCACTCTGTGACTCAGATCCCTCCACACAGACAGACTTCTGTTCAGGAACACTGTGACTGTCCTCAGATCAGCAATCCTGACCACACAGGATTTAATCTTACACAGTGGCTCTCCTCCCCCTGCCCTTCACTGTGTAAGTTTAAATAGCATTGACCTCCACATCATGACCATGGTGACCGTTGCCTTTGGTTGTGACCAAACAGCACCAAGCACACCAGATAATGGCCCTCTCACCTGTGGACTCACACATTTCCCACATGGGTGCAAATCAAACCCAGGGTCAGAAACACTTGAGATGCAGTATAGCAACAGACCACAACATCAGCACAATATCACACTAAATTCCACCACTCCACAATTCCAGACAAAACTCCACAACACCAGACCAAAAGGCCACAATGCCAAACCAAACCCTTCAAGTCCAGTGAGACAAGACCATCACCTACAGATTCACCAAGAAACATCTAAACCCAGTAAGTCTATAAAAACAAAACTGCATACTTTTTTGTAAAACAAAATACTCCTCAGAGTAAAACTAGCTATACCTAAAATGAGGATATTCTGGAATACAAACAGACATGATAAGCTCAGATGTGTTCATACTTTTATTTTCATAGTGACTAAATGTCTTTCACTGATTCCCACAGACTTGGTACTATTAGTATCCTTGCCAATTGGATGGCATACCCCACTGCTCTTTACAGCAGTCCTTTTCCCTTGACAGAGTACGATTTTCTATTTTTAGCTTAACTAGCCAGCTAAAGAGCTGCAAACTAGCATACATTAATAGGACACACATTCTTCCTCTGTACAGTATTACACTTTGAGCCTGTGACAAATCACATAAAGCAGCCAATCAGCAACGGCGCCACATGCTCAGCTGATAGAAAAGGCATCCCTTATTGGACGAGCAGCAAGATGTTTTTTTTTTTCCTTTTGCCATTGTTGTATTTTTATGCAGTGTCGTATATATTTCCCCCCTGCCCAGCGGCTACAAATGTAAATTAGGCTTTGATCAACTGAATACAGCGCACAGCAACGATATGTCATTAACATTTCCAATTAAGCATTGTCCTTTTTATATTCATTAAAATACATGCATAAAATGAATGGATGGATAATAAATACAAAAAATAATGCAATAAAGCCGACCGATCATATTACAAGAGTAAGAACAACAACAGAAAAGAAATCGTGTCACTGGCACTCTCATGTATCCTCTAGGAAAACTGCGGTTTAACCTGGCTGTCCAGCCTCGCCCAGACAACAGCATTCCTTTCCAGTAGCTTTTTTCTCTGCTTGAACCCACACACAGGATGCCAGTGAGAGGCTGGCTGGGTCACACCAAGCTTTCAGCTCAGTAAATTATTCATGCAAAAAGATCACACATCACAGAGCAGAGATGGCTATAGTCTTCCACCAGGCAACGCAAACCAAATGAGACAGTAATGAAGAAAGGCTAATACACATTAATGCAGAGTCTGTGTTCCTGGATGTGAGATGCATCCCTTTCAGATGTACAGTTGCACCCCAGTTACCTTATTTACCCAAGCCCTCACCTCATGTTCCACACTGACTCCACTGTCCCTCCATGATTTTACTCCCTCCACCACCATCTTACAAGCAGAACCATAGCAAAGCCACAAAGCATTCACTAAGCATTCAAACACCAGCACACATTTAAATAAGGTCATGTGCTTATAGCATATACGTATAGGAAAAAGCAACAGAACACCAAAACATGTTGCAAAGTTTCAACACAAAAGAGAGTTTTATCTTAAGTAAAACTGTGGACCACAGTGATGGCAGGTGCTATCACCTGCTGTGTGATTCCTTGAGTTTGTGACAGTTTCATGTCACATTGGCTATTCCACTGCAATTTACATCAGTCAAGTTTAATACATTATCCTGTTATACTGCTAGAGGTTTTACTGAAGTTAGTCAGGTTATATAGATCCTTAAATCTATCCAGTTCCTTAAACCCAACAGCACACAGATGTCCAACCATCACTGTGAGCATCAAGCATCTCAACACTACATATCACCACCTTCACGAATCCGTACACCTTTCATTCTATATCATATCTAGTTATTCATGTATCGATCTATCAATATGTATCTATCAAGGGCGGATCCTTTGGAAGCAATGTGTAAACTGTTAATTTTTTATATTGCTTTTCAATAAAAGAAAATTAAATCTATCAATGAAAACTGTCTATCTGTATGCTTCAGGGAGGAAAGCTCCACTTTTGCCCCTTG